AACTAAACAAGGGTTCCATGTTTCTTTCTGCTCAAGAACTGCAATTGTATTGTCCTTTTCGGTGAGATAGGGATTGCAGTTGGGATCACTCGAAGATGGAAGTGAAGACAGCGACATCTTTCATCTTGAAGAAGATACGTGACCTATCATTCTTTCCAGGTCTCCTGTTCATTGTTGCAAAGCACTAACTTTTTCCTGATCTCTGCAGTCATTCTATGCCCCACAGCCCCCCTCTCCAGACCAGGACGTTTTTCTGCAGTGCTCCTGTGTGCCCTCTTCATAATTCCAGCTGGAACAATTCCTCTTTGTGTTACTTATTTTTGTTTTCAAGTAACCGTAAAGTTAGGATATTAAGTAAATGTTGAGGCGTTCAAGTACAACAATTAAGTGATTTAAGTGTTAACAGTGTGACTCAAAACTTGAACAGCCCGGCTGCAACAGGGCCACGTTACATATTCTAACTTTGGGTTGTGTGCCCCATGGGTATACAAGGTGATGAGAGAAACTGAAACTAATTTTGAAGAGTCTCTCATACCACACTTTGTATTTTATGTGGTGCTTTAAAATTTAATAATGACTTTCTTCTTTACCTTAAATTGTGAATGTTGGTAGTTCCGTATGTTCACAGTTTACCACAGAGTCATCTAAGCTCCGTAACCTGTGGCATATAACCAGTTTTAATTTTCTAGGCATGCACATGTAACTAATATTTGGTGGTGGGACTGTGTAGTATTTTCCACTTCAGGATTCATTGCCTTAACCATCTTGGTTAAAACTGCTCCTTTTGCTTATTAATGCTCTTAAAACTGTCAGTTGATGAATTACCATTCTATTTTATTTCACTGCTCAGTGGCTGAAAATTTTGGTTTTTGGTTTCTTGTTTTGTAATATTGCGACATATCGGCATTTAGTTTTTGTACTAGCCATTTTTATTCACATTAAGTATGTCCTATTTTGGCTTAAAGTGGTCATTTTTTATACAACTACACACTTTGCTAAAAGTGTATAGTAGAAGTTGAAAGTATAAAGTAGTTGATGCATATTAGTGTAATTGGTAGAGATGTTTGGGACCAAGGGACTGGCGAGGAAGCAGTGAGCAACCAACATGTCTGTGTTATTGTGAGCCTGTTACCGCAGAATGCTGCACATGACAAAATTTACTATAACATAGCAAGACTTCATCGACATGAACATTTTAAGCCAAAGTTCCGTACTTTTATCGAGTGTGCATCACCACTGCTGTAGAGAATCATATAATTCTCTTTTCTAGTTTTGGTTTTACCATCCATAATTACCATGTATAGACACACCAGAGCTTTAAGAATGCCAGTCAGTCATTTTTTTTGGCCATACAGTGCATGCAAATGTAGCATTAAAAGTTGTTAAGAGCTGAGTGGCATTCTTAGATGATCAGTAATTCTGTGCACTTGCCTCACTGTGAGGATGCACGGTGTGTGCTGGATTATTCCATTTGAGCACACTGGCTGCATTTGTTTGCTCTGGGGTCTAGGGACAAGAGACGGAAAGGCACCACCTTCCTACACAACCTTGCCATCTCTGAACAACTTGTTCCTGATTCCTGGTTGACAAATACGCCCGTGGTGTGTCACAGTATTACATATATTTTTTTAATTAATTAAATTCACAAACCTGGTTTTTTAATCCTCGCCATTATGTCCGTTGTCTCTTTTCCCCCAGTGTTGAACTGCAGAAAGCTAACCTTGAGGCCCAAAATCCCGCAACCCCCGGAGGTCCGGGCACTTCAACCCCTGGCTCAAGTTCGAGTGGTCCCTCTTCCGCGGCCGCTTCCCCTCTGGCCAGTGCTATTCCCCTCGCCCAGCTGCTGTCCAAACCTGGCGCCCTCAACGCGCTCTCAAGTCTGAGCGCCCTGGGGGGGCTCACGGAGCTTCTGGGGGGCACGGGCGCTTCAGCCCCTGTCCAGACCACTGGTGTTCACCGTTCACATAAGACCTATACCCCCAGGTTGCGGAGCCCAGGTGGAGGCATGGGCCCCCAGGATAACAGCAAGATAAAATCTGAGAGGAGCAAGTTTGCACCTTATTAGAACCTGTTATCCTGCTTACCCCGCTGCCTATACACTCTGCTCCGTATCACTGGGGTGTTGGCTAACAGGTTATGTTAATTACAGGACAAACATAACAGTGTTTCTGGTAATGATAGCTTACAATTTAGAGGGATAAAATATGGTAAAATCTCTTCAGTATTGAGTGAATCTTTGTCACCTATTAATTTTTTATAATAAATTTCTTTATGTTCAATGTATGGAACACACATTTGTCATTCTTTGTATATTTGCTTGCAGTTTTGCCATTCAAGCATGGCAACCAAGCAGAGGGTGTTCTGTATTGATGAGATTTTACTTTTGCAGACTCATTTGAGATGCAGTTGAATTAGTCGTAAGTCTTGACATAAGTGTAATCTTTCTCTGTACTATAGTAGCAGGGGGAAAAAGAAGTAATTAAAAGTCTCTAGATACAGTCACTAGTTATCATCTTCTTCATGTTTAAACCATAGTTCATTATTACAATCATTGCAGTTGTGTTTCATTCTGCAGTTTTTATTATTCCAAGATACATAGAGTAAGCTGCAGTAAGACAGATGTCGGTAGTATGACTTCTTAGGAAGTTTTGCCAGACTGTTTTGTTCTTTTGCTATAGTGGTAATGATTCCAGACTTTTTGTGATATGTTTTAGGATGTTTTTTTTATTATTCTTTTTAACATTTTGAGTTCTGTGAAGTTATCAGATTGCTGATCGGTGGTGACAGTGAAAATTTTGTTTATGAGAATGTTGGACTAGAGATGAACATATCAAATTGGTTTATTTGCACCACTGCATTTTTGTTTTCAAGATTCTGTCATGTGTAATTAGTTAATTGAAGGAAAATAAATTGAAAGATAACAGGCTTGCATTTGTTTTATGTCTGAAGTTTATGAACTGGTCTTGTGGCACACATTAAATAAAATTTGTTAGCAATGCAACGATTGCAACAAACAAAATTATTTATCCTGTTTCATAGCCAGTAATCCTATATATATAGAAACAAGCTCAGGTGTCTGAATATTATAAAATACCCTTACTTTGTTCTCTTGCTTAGAGGATGGTGAATTAGGGGGGCATATCAGAAATGTCACACGTTAATCTCAGTAACCTCGTGAGTGCCATGTCCGAAATTGTCTTGAACATATTTCTTTTGCAAGGAGTTTCATGCTCTGAAAATGTCATTACCTTGTGGTAATAATCCTCCTCTATACGTCTGCATTTCTGGACCCACGTCTTTGAAGGTGCTGCGTCAGTAACAGGTGTCAGAATATTGTGTGTAATATTGTTTTGGTCTCTAAGTAAGAACTTGCAGCGGAATTAATTTAGGACTGATTCTCACTGTTGAATTGCCAGACACTTTGACTCGGCTGGTTTGTTGCAGATTGTAATTGCAGCGTTCATTATCTTTCGTCTTAAAAATTTAGTCTTCCTGCAGGCTACTTTGACCAATAATCATCTTCCATATATAGATAATGTTAATCACTGAGTACTTAAATGAATATAAAATGTGTACGGTGTAGAATATTCTGACATGAAACTAGAATTGTGTATTTGTTCACAAATTCTTGGGCTCAAAAAGAGAGGGATATACTGTTTCCCATACTATGTATATGTCCATAATAATGCTTGAGATGGAAGATCAGAAAATACAAGCTTATGGCACTTTATCTGGTGTGGGGCTTTGGCTGTTATAGTCGAGATTCTGTTTTATTAATCCCCTTCACACTTATTGAGATTTCAGTGTAAAGTAGACTGTGGCCTCTATTTATTTTGTCGAACTTTGTAAGTTCTGTTTGCCCCCCCAAAGAAAAAATACAACAAGCTTTTATATTAGTACTCTTCTCCTAAATAGTTTGGTGCCCAGTATTTCACTCCTCTGGCTATTCCAGTGTTCAGTTCTTTTGCTGTTTATGATTGCTTCATATCATGTTTATGTTAAATTACTTGCAAGTGTTATATTAAGATTTTAAGTTGTGTACCAGAGAAGACAGCACTGTGAATCTCGGGAAAAAAAATTTTCTTCTCTTCATTTGTTCTGTGTTGCTGGTAAGTGCTTAATTATATCTATAATTTGAAGTCTTTCCTGTTACAGTAATAAATATTCATTTGTCAGAGACTGGAGTTGGTTTCCTTTTTTGAAATGAATAGCATCGTGTGGTTTCTGTAAATTTGTCATAACTCATGCATGCTGTATGTATGATTGTGATTTATACTTTTAAAGCATATATTTATATATGACTCCTGTTACCAAAGAGTGCAAATGTTTAACGTTGATTTTTTTTATTATGTACGTTTTAGTCCATATTGCAGTGCTAATTACAAATCAAATTTAAAAGACCCATTAACTGTTGTATTTGGATATTACCATGGTAAGATTCCTTTTACTCTACTTGAACACATTCACTCTCAGGAACTCAAATGCTGGCTTACCCTTCAAGCAAAGGCATTTTAGCAGTACATTAGCATTTTACATTATTATGAGGTTATTAAAGAAGTGACAACTGTTCTGTGTATGTTCATGAAATCTCAGGCAGTAGCTGCCGTGCACCATCTGTTAACAGGAGGAAACTATAATTAAAGTCAACTGTGAAAGACTTTATCATAAGGCATGTTACCGTCTGATGTAGTGCTCTGTTCATTGCACTGATAAAAGCCCAAATTCAAATATAGAATTTTAAATTTCCTCTTGCCTCCTAGCAGCTGAATTAAATTAACTTGTAATCAATTCGAAGTGCAGAAAATTGTAAAATAAATTGTCTATACATTGCAATTTTTAACTTAGAATTGCCATAAAATATAGACTAAGGATGAATCATTTCCCCCCTATATCAAAGTTTCATTATCATCAGCCTGAGTGCATAGTTTACGTACCTTTTGTTTATTCTTTGAAGTACTGGAAAGTATATGAGTTAAAATGGCAGAAAGCTTTAACATGCTATGCCATAGGTTCAGAATGACATAACCTTTGTTATAATAAAAGTTCACTGCCTTTCTTGTGACAGCAAAGAAGACAAATGCACAAGCTGTCAAGCTTCTTGATAGCAGGTTCAAATCAGGCAAGCTTTTTCTTCTTCTTAGAATTCTTTTGTAAACACTATTCAACAGGCCTTGTTATATGAGCACTTATATGAATGAATGATAAACCATAGAGGAAAAGTGGCCTAACTCATGCAGACTGACGCTGTGATTCTGTTATCCTTATTTTGAATTCATCATAGAGCATTTACATACTGGGGGAAATGAAATTAGCACACAAGCTCTCCATAGTGTGATTCCATGTTAAACAAACAAGTTGTAAATATTATACAACATATGTCACCGTCAAATGTCATAAGCTATCTAACCATGGGCACTTTGTAGTTAAAATAGGTGTTCAAAGCTGTCTCCGTCCATATCACGGCAGAAGGCAATGCACCTCGCGGCATTCTCTCGAACATGCCTTAACATGTTGGCACAGCTGCTTGAAGTCTTGCCACAAGATCTTCGATAGTCCTGCGCAAATGTGCTCCTTCAGGTGTCCTCAGAAGAAAAGGCCATCGAAGTTTGATCCGCCGACCGAGGAGGTCCTCCACCTTTCTGGATATGTTGTGTTCAATCACTGCCAGACATCTTTCCCATAGTGCACTGGAGCTTTGTCGTACTGAGACTACAACCTCTGCCTCACAGCCAGAGGCGTGTCTTCAAGCAGCCCTGGTAGAACCGTTTCCAGATAATCACGATATCATTGAACAGTCACTCTATCAGGTAGCAGATAGAGGCTCACGTTAATGTCCCTGACGATTCCAGTGCACAAATTTCATATTAATTTATCTCATCGATAGGGTACTGAGATATTTTTTCTTCACTAGATTCACTGCTGTTCCTACACTGCTTGATTATTCGTCACCATCAGAAAATGCTTTTCTTTACAGGTTGTAATGAAATTTCATTATGCTGTAGTCATGGCTGTCAATTTGTTATTATTTTGTTAAAACATTGTTTTTATATCTACCACTTATGGTTTTCAGTATGTTTTTTCTTTATACTGTCTTTACATCATTTTTTGTTCTCCTGTTTTTTATTTCTGCATGTAATGTAAAATACATGCGAACCTCTTATTATTTGATACAGTCTCACAAACCACACATTTTGGTTTACCATTTGGTCCCCTAGTAAACATTAACATGCCTTCCCGGACTTCATTTTCTTTATGAAATGCAGCAGAGATCACAGAACCCATTTGTTTCAACAACAGTGACTTTAAATACAATAATGCAAACAAGATATTTGATCCTTTGTTTGTAATATTTAAGAATTCAGTCTGTACCTCAAAGAAAACAACTATTTGCCATTACAAAGATAAACTGTAATGTTCTTTAAGGAAGTGTAGAAACATACGCTATTTATTGTGAGAATTGTACGAATTACAAAATTAAGAGTTATTGATTGTTGAAGCAGGTGAAACATACATGGTGTGACAATTAAATTCTCAGAATGACTGCGTATATGTCGCATCGAGTAGCAAGTGGGCTGTAACTAAGCAGTGATGTGTTACGAGATGTTTGTGGTTATGTCTTGTGTGTTTGGTGAAGGAAATAAGGCAGTAATAGTGAAGCAGTGGCAGAGTTACACAAGTCTGTATTTTCATCCTGGCAGAAAAATGATAATAGGTTGTTGGAGCGAGGCATTAACATAAAGTTTTGTTGCAAAGTTAGGCAACATCACAAGTGAAACTCTGCAGATGTTAACCAAGGCTTATCGTGCTGATGCTATGAAAAAGTTTAGTGTCTTTGAATGGCATAAAAGGTTTAAAGAGGGTCAGGAAGACAATGCTCTTTTGTTTTTTTATCACAAGGGTGTTGTTCTCCCTGAGTTTGTTGAACAAGATCAGACAGTGAACCACCATTATCTCGAAATATTGGCAAGGTTATGTGAGGCTGTTCATCGAAGAAGACCCAAAATTTAGCCTGATGCTTGGATCTTGCATTGTGACAATGTCCCTGCTCATGTCCGGGAGTTTTTGGCCAAAATAATCTGTACTGAAGTCGGATCGTCCACTGTATTCGCTAGATTTGGCCCCGTGCAACTTTTGACTTTTCCCAAAATTGAAGACTGTTTTGAAGGGCCACAGATTTTCAGACATTGCTGACATTCAGGGACATGTGACAACCATCCTGAAGAGCATTCCAGAAGAGGAGTTGCAGAAATGTTTTGAGCAGTGGAAACATCAACTCTCTAAGCGTATTGGTGTGCAAGGAGACTACTTCAAAGGTGACTGCAAGTAACTGTGTAAGTAATTAAATACAACTTTTACAGGGGCTTTCTGGGAACTTATTGTCACACCTTGTACACTTACCATTGGGCTTTAAAGGGCTAACATTTTTTTCTTTAATGATAAAAATTCAGACATAACCTTACAGTTAAGTAATATGCAGATGTACAGAGCACTCTGACACAATTCTCACTCTCCACTACACTGTATTCAGATACAAAGTCATAGTTATTTTGTTCCCCATTTTTTATGAATGGATGTCGTATGAGGAATACGAGGGGTTGGTAGAAATTCAAATTAAAACTTGTCTTGGCGTATCTAACTATGAATGCATAGTTTATAATTTTAAATTTCAAATGAAGTTTGTGCATTTTCAGAACAAAGATACAGCAGTATAACTTGAATTTAATATAAATGTTTATTACTCATATATACATATTGTCTTTAAATGGCACTGGAAAAGACTTTCTGTGTAATTTGATATGAATCTGAAGAAACAATGTTGTTGCTCATTGACCTGTAGTAAGCTTGAAGATGCAAGATTTTGATTTTAAAAACTTTGCAGCACAGACATTGGCATAAATGGGAGGATAATATTGACATGAATCTTAAAGAAGCCCGTCACAGTGGTTCTGTGATCTTAAGATGTGTGAGGTCCTAGATTGCTCAGACACCAGGGGTTTGAATTATGCATAAGGCATGGATGTGCACATTTGATTTTGTGTGATGGGTAAAGACATTTTCATGAGCTGATCCTCCATCTAAGGAGTCTACTGTGATTTTTCTGTATTAGAATTGATTCAATTTTTCAAAAACATTTCACAAACAACAGAATTCTCTCAAAACTGGTCATGTACCATTTTCACCTGGACCTGTTACACATTTCCTTTTGAATGAAAATAGTGCTTGAGACTTGCTGCAGTTAAAGGTACAGTATCTACAGGCTGGGCGATTGGAGTTCGATCCCCGACGGACAGAGGATTTTCTTCTAATCTCTGTGTCCAGATCAGCTCTGGGGCCCACTTAACCTTTTGTACCGTGGGTACAAGGAGTCCTTTCCCAGGGGGTAAAGAGCGACCAGGGCGAGACACTGACTGCTCACCATCTAGTGCCAAGGTTGAGAATGAATAGGAGCTATGCTGCCTCTCGCCCAGAGCACCAACATGGCATGTAGCAGGATAGCTTTACTTTGCTTTACTTAAAGATACAGTACACTACTTAAGGGCTGTGCTCCATAAATTTATTTTGTACAACCACACATCTCGCCGGTCTTGACACGGAGGCTAGAGGAAAAATCGTCTGCCCCCGTCGGGGATCGAACCCCGGTCGTCCAGTGTGTAGCTAGTCACTATACTGACTGAGCTATCCCTCCATGGGTTGTATTCTGTTGTCAACACTGATTCTGTGGATGGCACATTGGATGACGAGATCCATATCCAGTCTGTTTCAAGGGCATGCCGATTGATTGAGAAAAAATATGGAAACCCATTTCCACTCAGAATTATATTCTTGACATTTGAGGTCCCCTCCCGGCCCAGATGTGTGTGTGTGTGTGTGTCAGGTTCAAAAGGGTTCCAGTACGACCAAACATCCTGAACCCATTGTGATGCTTCCTATGCCAAAAGTTTGGGCACACGCAAGAACGATGTGCTTCCAACGTAGTGTGTGGTGTCTGGTGAGTACTATGAGCTGATTGATTAGTTTGATTCTCAGCAAGATGTGATAATTTTCTTCTTGAAGATGGCTGTTGTTTTGGGTTGTCGTGCCATGTAATCTGGTATAAGTTTACTGACAATGCAGAGGCTACTGCACTGCTGCCTTTGTTATCAGGACAGTGATGGCTGTTGCGCTGGTGATGGAT